ATGATAAGGAGAGTGTACATGGAAAACAGTCTTTTACCATCTCAATAAAGCCAACCAAATAAATATAGTCACTGGAAAATGCCAAAAAAGTTACAAATGCTTTTGCAGAGAGAGAAAATAACATTGCAAATGGGAAGCAGGGAGTCTTGTCCCTGCATACGAGTATTCGTGGGCACCCAGCTACAATCTGCACAACCATCAGAGTGGCCGCTCATGTCAGCTGCATTTTGAGCCACATGATGGCAATGAAGCAACCGGATCCAATAGGTTAAGGATGATCTTACAAACCAGGGATGGGTGGGGCTAAAGGAACATTGAATGCTTTATTTTTACTTTTCCTAATCTTATGGGTAGAAAAACAACAACAACAACAACAACAATAACAATAATAATAATAATAATAACAACAACAACAATAACAACAACAATGTTAATAATAATAAAGAGAAAAGAACTGCAAACTTTTTATCTTACCTTTGGCAGTATTTGTGACCAATCTGGAGGCATCGCCAAAGGTATTGCTGTGAAGTTCTAACCGAATGCTGCCCGCACCGTCACTTTTGAACGACTTTGCTAATGCGTCCGATATCACAATACCACTGGGCAAGCTGGACCCTAAGACAATGTTGGTGCTATCACTGCTGCCCGGCCGTGCGTCCGTCACCTGTGCGTCTCTCACCAGCGTGGTGGTTGTGGAGGGGTTGATACGGATAGGTTGCGTGGTCGAGTTTCTGACCCCTGCGATGGCCACATTACTTAAGGTTATAGTTTGAGTGTTGGACAAGCCATTTTGCAAGCTGACAACAACAGGAATGTGGTTCTTGCTCCCACCAGTGTCCAGTTGCAGCACGTTCCCCACAATATTGATAGCACCATCGTTTGTCTTTACCTTTTTATTTTTATTTTTGGCACTCGTGATAGGTGTAGCATTATTTTTTAGGGCGTCTGGCTGTGTGGGCCGCTTAAGCGTGGCCGCCAGCGCACTGCTGTTCACGATGCCCATACTGTTGCCAACATGGATGTGGCCATTGTATCCCGTGCTTACACTGATGCCATCCTTACTGGCTGAGCCTGACGGCACCGTCAACTGCAGCTTCTTGGCTAGCAGCGGCTTCACGTTGACAAATCTCTCTTGTGTACCACCAATGTTTAAAGTATTGCTAATACTAGAGTCACTGAGAACAGAGGCTGGGTGCGGCTTTTTCAGGGCATTTCGGAATGCACTGCGCAACAGGTCAGCACGGTGGTCTGTTGCCAGGTGGCCACCCAATCTTCTGCAGTTATATGAACACGTCTGGAAGAGAGCAACCATGAATTAGGTATTTTATCATTTCATAACAAACTTTTTTTTCTTATCATTGGAAGTCTAAACCTGAATTTACCCAAATAGAATATCAGAAAATCTAACAACAGAAGAATATACTGGTATAATTGTAAAACTGGAAGAAAGAGAAAACATCAAATTTAACCTAAACCAATTAAAAATTGAAAATCATGATCCTTCCATTTCCTGTTTATAGTACTACTGCTGCTTAGCAATGATAACAATAATCAATTGTACAAAAAAATCACTCCAGTAACTTACAGCGAGAGGTTTGGGAGGCTCACGGACATAAAAATTATCGGCAGGTACGAGAGCCGGAGCAATCCTGGGAGTGGGCGGCCAGTATGCAGGAGAGGGGGGCGTGGCATGGATGTGCGACGGGGTGCTGGGAGGATCCATGGGATGGTGTAGGGTGGGGTTGGGAGAGGGGTCGCCCGCTGCCACTAGGGTGGGTGCGGAGCCCCCCAGGGTTTTTACCAGGAGTGGGGAGGTAGCCGCAGCTCCCCCCACCACCATTCCTCCGCTGCTGGTGGTGGCCATGGCCGGCCCGCGGGGAGGGGTGCCCTGCAACACACAGTCACATGCCAACCAACACAACACACACCACAACTTGCCGCACTCTCTAAGGGAGCTTAGAGAGTGCGATCATGTAATGGGAAAATAATTTTAGAAAAAAAGTAATAAGTATTAATATTTCAAATATGTATGCACAATCACTGAAGTATGTATGCAAAGGTACTTCCTCTCTGTGACTAGCAGCGGAAACTACCTAAAAAGGTACAATTGTAAAAATATACATATAGAAGATGAGAAAAAGAGAATGAGCCAAGGCTGAGAATCTTAAAGAAAAAAAAGAGAAAAAAAAAAAGGGGGAAAAAAAAAATTGAACTTTAAATGCTGTGCTCAGAGACTGGCCCGCAGCGAGCATTGTCATCCAAGCACGACCAATGCATACTGTATTAGCAGAGGAGGTTGGAGAGGCCACAACACTGGCTGGCAGGTGAGATGCACCAGGTGACTGATTACGGCATCAAACAAGAGCACACCAAGCAGGATGGGCACTCTCGGGAAGTGGCGCACGCAGCCGCACTTACCTGAATCTGGCCTGCTGCTGCGTCGGGCGGTTTGGCAGCCCGTGTCTGTGCCTCTTTGGCTGCTCGGTGCTCCAGGAGCAGGTCATCAAACTTTTTGGACCTCCCAGGCACAGCACGGCGCAGCGATAGCGAGTGCGTCTTGCAGGTAAGAGAGCGCGTGCAGGGCTTGCCTGTCTCAGCTACCACCACCCCGCAGTGTACCTCTGGGTCGTACTCGCGGTCCTTGAGTGGTAGT